AATCAAAAAATTCAGCCGGGCGTGGTAGCGTATGCCTGTAATTCTGGCTACTCGGAAGGCTGAGGCGGAAGGATCGCCGGAGCCCAGCAGGTTGAAGCTGCGGTGGCCGGGAGCGGCCACTGCACTCCAGTCTGGGCGACCGAGTGAGACTCCAACTCAAAAAAAAAAAAAAAGAGCTGAAGGTATTGATAGCTTACATTTCAGGGTTTGCAAAATATTTTTTACATTTACTACTTTACTAGTCATTAATGATCTCTGTAGCCTTTGACCTGTTACTTAAACTCCCCAAGCTCCATTTTCCTTAACTGTAAAATTGTAATAAATATAGCACCTACCTTACAGAGTTTTTGTGAGGATTAAATTAGTTAATATACTTAATATATTTAATATAGTGCCTGGCTCATAGTAAACCCATAATAAATGTTAATTATTATTGACACTATAATATCCTGATACAATGTGAGAAGGGTACAATTATTCTGCTATTGTATATGAGCAAATTGAGAATCAGAAAATTGAAAATTTTAGTGGAAAGAAGTTATAGGTAATTTTCTTGTTTTACTTTTCTATATTTTAAATATTTTCTACAGTACTTATATCTGACTTTTATGATGGGATAAAATAAAAAACTGGTAGCCCATAGCTATGCCTCTACATAGGAAAGGAAGATAAATTAACACAAAACTGATATCCTTATACTCTGGATAGAATTGAGACTAGAGCATAAAACACCATTCAAAATCTCTTTTCTTCCTTATTATAAATTCTGCTAAAATATTTCAAGAGGAAGGAAGTTAAAACTACAGGTATCGCCTAACTTTTAGAATAAATGTATCAAAGCAAACTTGAAAAATCAGCCATCTTTAAAGGATGTCCAATTTTGCCAATGGATCATGGGAAATATCTAACTAGGAAAAAATATTCTGCGTTTTGACTTGAGCATTCTGGGGAAAAATTGTTAAGTTTGAACTCAGCTTATTTCAGATTATGATTTAAGTAGGAACAGAGAAGAGTTAGGAATCCAGAATTGAACTTTGTAGCACTCCAACCTTCAGAGTTGGAAAAAGGGTGACAATCCAGCAAAGGAGACTAAAAGGGAGTGTCCTGTGTGATAAAAGCTGTTGAGATGTCAAGGAAGATGAGGATAGGAACTTGACCATTGGATTTGGCAGGAGGTAACTGATAATTATGATAAGGGTTATTTTAGAGGAGTGGTGGGGTTGGAGGCCAGTTATAGGTGAATGAAAGCAGATGAGAGGCATGAAAATGGAGACAGCAAGTGTAGGAATCTCTTTTGAGAATGCTGTGGAATAAAACAGAATAGCAGTGGGATAGAATAGTGGGTAAATATTGGGTGAAAGGGAGTTTTTTTTTTTTGAGTTGGAGTCTCACTCTGTCGTCCAGACTGGAGTGCAGTAGCTGCTTCCGGTAACCGCAGCCTCGACCTGCTGCCTCAGCTTTCTGCCTCAGCCTTCCAAGTAGCCGGAATTACAGGCATGCGCTACCACGCCCGGCTGATTTTTTGATTTATTGTAGAGATGAGGTCTCACCTGCCCAGGCGGGTCTCGAACCTGCGGGCTCAGGCAATCCACTCACCTCAGCCTCCCAAAGGCGTGGGATTACAGGCTGAGCCACCGAGCCTGGCTGAAAGGGAGTTTTTTAATGGGCAATTTAAGGTGTCCATGTAGGCTGTTATGAGGCAGAAACTGACGAAATGGAGCAGAGTGGGAAGATTGTTGGAGTAAAGGAGATAGAATGCAAAGCAGAAGCAAAGGATAGTCCATTTGTCACGGGGGAGAAGGCAAAGTGCACAGGTGCAGATAAATGTAGATTTGGTGGTAGACACATGAGATGATTCTTGTCGAATTAGTTCTATCTTCTCAATAAAATATGAGGTCAAGGCATCAACTGAGAGTGAGGACGAGAAGGGACGTTGCAGGTGTGAAGAGAACATGTGAAATAGTGGCAAGTGAACTTTCTGGAAAAATGCACTGGAAATATTGAGTGTCCATTTGAACTTTGTGGTCATAAGTGTACATTGAAATTAGTCAGCATGGTTGTGTGACTTTTCCCAGCAATGTGTAGCTCCTAGGATGTAAATGAAGAGTGGGAAAAAAGCTATGTTCAAGTGCGGTGGGACTTGGTTAGGAAAGGGTGATGAACAGAGATGGATAGGGAGTGAAGGAGGCGGATGAAAAATGGCTATAGGACTGACCTATGAAAGACTGGTTATAGAAATGGGTTAGTTGGGTAAGGAGGAAAGAGATGACACAAAAAGGCTGATAGAAAGTGGAAAAGTGACCAATTAATTGGAGGTCCTAACGGGGTAAAAATGATTAGAATGGTGATATTAGAAGAAATGAAATAAATTACAGAAGATCGTGGTCAGAGAGTGGACTTTTCTTAGGTGGCACACTTATTGGTGATGACATGCTGGCTATGGCCACGGAAAAGGGTAGCTGAAGTGGGATGGAGAACAAAATCTTTAGGACAAGGAATTGTGAGAATAGATGTTGGTTGAATGATCCCTCTGAATGTTGAAGTAAGGGTGATAGGAATATGGTGAAGAGGTGGACAGTGAATGAGATATTGAAATCTCTAACGAAGTCAGGAGAATGACTGGATGTAGAGAGGCTGATAAATAATGACAATAAAGAGGCAGAAGAGTGATACAGGCTAATGGCATGACCTTCAAGTGTTTTAAGGAGGAAGGAATGAAGGAAGGAAACGGTATAGCATCTCAGGGAAGCAAAGAAGACTTTTTGCAAGTTTCCAGGTCTTATGGTATATGGGGTGTGGGAAAAAAATGAGAGGGAGTAGGGCCAGCAGTGCTACCAGGAGACTGCCAAGTTTCTAATGAAACAAGAGAGTAAAAAAGGTAGTTCACAGAAGGAGTGGAAGCTACAGGGGTGTTGGCTGATGACAGACTTTGGAAAGTTGGTGGTGGGGTAGGGTGTGAGAGCAGGGGCCAGTGTGAGAGCTGGGTCAGATGAGGAGTTATATAGAGGAGAGCATACAGGGCAATAGTGGGCGGTGATAGATATTCTGGGGGTCTTGGACTTTTCATGGCATTTGGGATAAACATGGACATAAGACATGACTGCTAGTTAGAGAAAACTGGAAGGTCAAATCAAGTCATCACCCCTGGTCCTCAGCAATACTAGCTCATAAGAGATATGAAAAGTTACCCAAAAGGCAAAACAGACAGTAGCTGCCACTTGAATTTGCTGTGGGGCAGAGAACACATTTAAAAAAAAAATGTAAATAATACCTGTGCTGTAAGAGACAGAGTGTATGATTAATCTAAATTCCTTGATAAGATCATTATCCTAATAAATGTAAGCGAATCAATATCATAGTTGGAAATAATATATATAGATCTAGGGTCCCACTGAGTCATGTGCACAATATCCCCCCCTGCCCTTCTAGGACATAAAAATGGCATCTCCCCAAGACCACAGGCCTTACCTGGAGCATGAGCCTGTCCCAGGTCTTGGTGACACCATTGTTTTTCCACTGGTCATCATTGTTTGGAGGGCTGCTGTTTTGATACCTTTCCAACATTTGCTTCAGGAAGAGGTTGGGTGTGAACTATGACAGGAAGAGACCATACAAGAGGTAGAGTTAGCACACTGACCCCCAAGGAAGAGAAAATATTTTTATCTGCTTGTTGCTGTGGACACTGAACATTCTCTCCTGGAGCAAAACTGTACTCAGAGGCTCCAAGTTCCGTTGACTGAGGAATTCCTCATGGAGAGAAGAAGCCCTACCCAAGTAAATCCCTGCAAGACAGTAGATGGATGTATGGGGGCTTAGGCTAGAGAATGGGAGAGAAAGAAAGATGCAGAACTGGGAGCAAGTTTAGCTGAAGAGAATGTAGATCATCCCACTAGAATGCCCATGGCCATAGCTGGTTGGAGAAACATAGAGGGAGTGTGGATCCTGGGAGTCAGGCTGCCTGGGCTCAGAATTCTTGCTTTTTCTCTTACCAGCTGTGTAACTTTAGACAAGTTACCTTCTCTTTCTGTCTCATTTTTTTTTCAAGTATAAAATGATGATAGCGATCATGTTTATTTTATAGGTTTATAAGGATTACATAAAATTACATATATATTATTTTATTATCATTATTATTTTGAGTCATGGTCTCACTCTGATGACCAGGCTGGAGTGCAGTGGCACAATCACAGCTCACCGCAACCTTGATCTTTGGGTTCAGGTGACCCTTCTGCTTCAGCGGGGACTATAGGTGTGCACCACGCCTGGTTAACTTTTTGATTTTTTTTTGGTAGTGATATGGTCTCATGGTGTTTTCTAGGCTGACCTTGAACTCCTGTGCTCAAGCAGTCCTCTTGCCTCAGCCTCCCAAAGTGCTGGGATTACAGGCATGAGGCACTGTACCCAGCTTATATGTATATTATTGATGTGCATATTAGATTGTCTGGAACATAGTAAGAGTATAACACACTCCAGCTATTAGCTTATTATGATAACAGTAACTTATATTCTCATTTAGCTCTGTGTTTTTGGAGGCTGTACTCACAAAGTCTCGTTGTGTTGCTGCTGTGATACAAGATGCCACTTCAAAGCCATATACTATAAACATCAGAATGAAATACTGGAAGGGAAACAAATGATAAAAAAGAATTACATTTACCTCCAAAGAGAGAATGCCCCAAATGATTGTTGTGATTTTTGGTGTATTCTCTAAAAAGAATCATCTAATCCTTTATGTAATTATCCAACAAACCCTCATTGATCAGCAACTTGGAATTGGGCTTGACTTAGCTCAATTCTTTCCTTTTCTCCAGAGAACAACTAGCCATTGAACACGGAGATTTCTCCTCCCAGCATCCTGAATTTTTATTTAAACTGTGAAAAACGGGTAAAAGAGAATGAAGTAGTGTGTGAGTACATGTGTGTGTGCGCTCAGTGGCCAGCAGGAGTCTGTGTTTCACACGTTGTAGAGCTTCATAGATCCTCTCTAAATTGGGAGAACTTTCCTTTATGGTGTGAGGAAAATTTAGAATCGCGGAAGTTAGATAAAGATGAACTGGATCGTGTTTAACATCCAGGTCTCTCCTAATAAGCATCCAGTCTCATCAGAGAGGGGCAGGCAACCTCTGGGCACACAGCGATTCTCTGGTATTCTCCTCTCACACGTGCCCCAGGTAGTTGGCTCAGGTGAGCCTGCTGTGTGCAGTAGTGGGGTGTGTGTGTGCATATACACATGAGGCCTCCACACGATACTGCCTCTATTTCTGGCTGGAAAACATCTGAACAGCACCTGGCTTCTGAATCTGGGATGAGGACTGTTTGCAAGAGTTCCATCTTTGCCTTCCACAGCCTTGTACACGTGCTTTTGGTCTTTGTGTTTTTCTTGGGAAGGAAATTTTGGTCAGTGTCAGGGGAGACAGACAAGGAAAACTATCCTCCCTGTTTTGGCGTGGGAGGCTCTCTGAGCAAGGCTCTCTACTCAGCCCTGAATAAAGCTCTGGCTGGGGAGTCAACAGCAGAGCACCCTCAGAGGCCCTATAATATTTTTTTCAGTATTAACTGCTGCCTTGGTCTTTCCCAAGAGTTTTACCAGCTCCTATTATAGAGATTCAGAAGCCCTTAGAAACATTTCAGAAAGGAGGCATGGAGTGAGGTGTTTTCTCCTTTTTTTTTTTTTTTTTGAGTTGGCATCTCACTCTATTGATCTCATTCTATTGCCCAAGCTGCATTGCAGTGGCACCATCATGGCTCACTGCAGCCTTGACTTCCTGGGCTCAGGCAATCCTTCTGCCTCAGTCTCCCAAGTAACTGGGACTACAGGCATACACCCCACATCTGGCTACTTTTTAAAAGAAATTTTTGTAGAAATGAGGCTTCACTATGTTTCCCAGGCTGGTCTTGAACTCCTGGGCTCAGGCAGTCCACACGCCTCGGCCTCTCAAAGTGTTGGGATTACAGGCGTGAACCACTATGCCCAGCCAAGATGTGTTATCCTTTAGCCCCTCAAAGAAGGCTCTCTTCTTTCTCGTTCCCTCCCCAGCTCAGTTCTCCTGGCTTTCAGTCATGCATGTGGCTGGTCCAAAGTGAGGCTGAATGTAAGTGAAGGTTATCTTTTTTTTTTTTTTTGAGTCAGAGTCTCAATCCTGGGCTCAGGCAATCCTTTTGCCTTGGCCCCCCAAAGTGCTGGGATTATAGGTTTGAACGACTGTGCCTGGCCTGAAGGTTATTTTTAGAGACACCTGCCTCTCTTCTCCCTTTTGCCTATATTACTTTCCCTTCCTTCCAAAAGTGGGTACTTTTGCCCTAGAACTAACTTACACTAAGGAATCAGAGAATGCAAATGTTCTGCATTCCCTGAGTACCCAGACAATGGTTAACTCAAAGGAAAAGTAAACTAACGGGCACCTTAAGTTGCTGGACTTGTTCTATAAAGGTAGAATTCAGATCTTGTGGCATTTGGGTAAAAGGGTCATACTGGGGTGGGGAGTTTGGGAACGGTCTCATCACAGTGTGAGAAACTGCTGCCCTGAGCATGAGGACAGGGAGTGGAGGGTCTAGGCCCAGTCCGAGGTTTCCCAGCTCGGCTGACTACAGTTTGCTTTTATCTCCAAAGGCAGGACATGATCTTGCTATTTGTGTTTGGAGGCAGAAGCCACTTCATGGACGCACAGAGTTAGAGCCCCCATGGGTGGGTGCGAGCTGAAGGTATAGTCTACAGTGGTGTGTATCAAGATTTCCTACGGCCCCTGAAAATGCAGAGTGGATGAAGATGTGGGAAGTAAAGGCCATGATACAAAATTATCAGCCTTGAGCTAAAAAAATCTTTGAAAGGTTTATGCATTCTCTTAAAAATTTATGCCTATTTTGTATTTTATGTTCTAATATATCAATGCCTGATGATGATGATTTTGAGTTGTGGCCTCACTCTCTCACCCATGGCGGACTGCAGTGGCATGATCATGGCTCAACCTCCCGGGCTCAAGTGATTTGTCCTCTTGCCTCCTTGTATGAAAATAATAACCCTCCAACACACCCCCATTGCCTCATCACTCACATTCCTGAATGTGTAGCTGGGACTACAGGCATGCACCATCACATCTGGACAATTTTTTTTTTTTTTGAGTTGGAGTCTCACTCTGTCATCCAGACTGGAGTGCAGGG